ATCAATCAATCAATCAATCAGTCAGTCAGTCAATACCAGGAGCAGTACAGAACACAGATAACTAAAGTCTTTGATGTGTCAGAGGTATTGATAGAGGTAGTTTAAGATACCCAAATCTCTCCCAGGCAGAGGAGTTTGTTTGTTGGGACCAGATGTAATATGTAATGAAGTCCCACCATATGACATAAAGATGTTGTGCGTTTTCTGCACCAGTAAAACTTTTAAATCAAGAGTAATATTTTTTTCTGAAATGGGTATTGTCCTCATGTTCTTACACCAGAGCATGATTCGCAAGTTCTTTCAGTCTCCCCAATTTTATGTGATTGAAATATGAGCTACGTTATGTCACTAAATCATTTGGGCATGGAGACCTGCATGTCCATCCCATCAATTCAACAAAGTAAGTTTGGGAGACATAATAATAATAATCAGATTTTCATATTTTAGACATTTCTTTATAGATTTCAGACCAAAATTTGGAGATCATTGGGCATTCTCACCATAAGTGGTACAGAAGGTGCCTTTCTTGAAACAAACGTGAAAATAATTTACCAGAGTTATTTTTTAAAAGATCAGTGAGTCAAAAAAAATGTTGAATTCAAGTTTATGCCACACACATTTAGAAAGTCTTTTATTGGCAACGTTGTTTAAAATGTATCTATTTTGCCCCAGATCCTTGCTCCTTCTTAGTGGTTGGTTTTAGCATAGTTCTGTGTTTGGATGCTGTGGCCTCTCACTTTGCATTCTGTATACTTGGGATGCAGCTGAACAGGGAATGAGGGCCAGGTTCTCTGTGTATTGCTTCTGGCTTCTGTCCAATTGGAAGTGCCTTCTGGTGATTATTACATCGCTGAATAATGGCATTTAGCCTGTGTGGAAGGGAAAGGAGGCAGTTTTATAGGCCTTGGCTGCAGTGAAGGCTGTGCCTCTGCATATTAGACAAGTCATTAACATGTCCTGAGCTAGATTTTGCCCTTTGTAGTAAATATATTGTACGTGAATATTTTAACAAACTGACATGTTGGAAAATGAATGTGTAGCGGCAGCGTTGTTCACATGAATGCGAAAGGGCTGTTGTTGCCTCGGGTGGGAACTGCCTGGGCTCTAACAATCCTGAGAAGTGATATGAAGGATTATGGGGAATGGTAATCAATGTAGCAACAGGCAGCATACGATTATGGAGGGAAAGTTGGGATGGGGGAGAAAGAGAGAGAAGCCTAGCACTGTTTCAGCAGGGCCAGCCCTACTGTTCGACAAGAGTGTGGCGGCTACCTCAGGCAGCAAATTTGGGGTGTCATTAAAGGGAAACAATGGTTAGATACTAAATTTGGTACTGATGTATTTTTAGTGCCTTGGAGAGGGAGAGGTGCTTTGCTTCAGTTGCCAAAATAAACGAACTGCCCTTGGAAACTGTGTATGTTGAGTAAGGGGGCAGCAAGGAATGTCATTTCCTGTTTTGCCTTGGGGTGTGTAATGTTTTGGGCCAGAGTTGTGTTCAACACAGGCCGTTTTAACAAAAGTATTGCTTGAAGGATGTGGGAGACAATGGAAGCTCTCGGGCCTTGACTTGATCGTTTTAATCAAGAAGATCTACTTAAACAAAAACTTAACTCTTCTTGACCAAAAGAAGAATAAAAACGGGAGAAGTCCCAAAGTTAGCAAAGGAATCTGAAAACATGACCCCGATGGCGACTTGAAGAATCTCTGTTTGTTGACTGTTGAGATTTAGAGAGGGACGACTGCAGTTTAAGGTACACTCTATCAAAGAGGAGGAGGAGTCTTTAAACACACACACACACACACACACACACCCCACAACAAATTGATGTCATAATGTAGTTAGGCTTCCGGATTTAATGGTTTTAGAGGGGGTCTTTAGATGTGTTACTTCGAAATGTAGTAAGTCAGCCCATCTACATTTGGGGGCCCTCCTGCTCATTCTGGTGAATGGGGTCCTAGGTTTTGATATTTTTCACTAGTGACTTCATCAAGCTGTGTCCAGGATTTTGTGATATAAATTCCTATGTGCTTAATATGATGTGGGCAGAGCAGTTGATATTCTTAACAAAATGTGACTACATGATGGTGGCACAGATGTCCCTCTTTTGAAAATTGTAATCTGTAGCTCCCAAGTGGACAGGAAGTGTCAGAAACTTTTCAGAGCAAAGAGAAAGAGTGGATATTTTATTAACAAGTGAACAGTTGGCACTTCTGCTTCTGAAACAACAATTTATTTCCAGTGGACAAGATGTCCTTCTTTGTGTGAGACAATCTGATTTTTAAAGAAAGGGAAATGTTTTACTGCTCCACAGACAGTATTTTTGTTGCACCTGAGGAGGCATGAACAGTTTACCTTCATACTGAGTGCTTTATTATACAGAACTTCGAGGATTCCTGCAATCTAGTCCTGGAGAGGTAATTTATAAAGTTGCGAACTTAAAGCTCAAGGGCTTGTTTTCAGATGTAGGACTATTGGTGGGTGTCATCTGGAAGCTGCTAGCACATGTCCTTCGTGTATCTCTTGCCTTTTCATTAGCACTAATATTGATTAGAGGCAGTGCAGGCCTTAAGAGTAAATAGGTGCTTTGTGAGCTTTGCTAACTGTGGCTTGTATATATAAACAAAAATCCTGATCTCTCACTTGGGAAGTAATTTTGTTCACTTAGGTTGACTCTGAAAGTGAATTAATTAAATTGGAAAACACTTTTACCAAAGACCATGTACCACCACGAGTGACAAACTGCACCATTAGACATAACAAGGATTCTGAAGCATCATTTAACTTGAACACCAAGTAGGCAGATAAATAGCCTTTGTGGAAGTTCTGCTGCTTCTCTTACATTAGTGAGATAGATACTTGCCAGTTTGAAAAAAAGCCTGTCCCCTTTTCATAGTAAGCCATTCCTGCTGTCTCGTGCCATCTCAGCAATAAAAAGAAACATACCAGCAAATGGAACCCCCTAAATGCCAGCTATTCATTATGTGCAGCACCTCATAAAAGAAATCCCATCAGATTGTGATGCAGCCCAGGACATATTTTCATACAGTTTGGTTTTCAAGTTAAAATATGCATGTTCAGTGCATGAGAACCTTTAGGGAAGCATTTAACCAAATTCTATTCAAACTGAATGGGCTTTTGCTGCTTTTTGTCCCAGCTTTTTGACCTCTGCTTTTTGTGCAGGCAGTAGGCAAGGTATAGCTCAGGAGAGTACTGGCACCTTCCCTGAGCTATGTCTGGCCAAGCTTGAGGAATCTCTGTACGCTTGCCCAGCCCAAGTCACTTTAGAGATGAAGGCTTGCATAGAACATAGAAAGGCTGCTTCCACTGTGGGCACTTACTGCGAAATCATCATGCCTCATTCACTCACATTTTGTAGTTGTTGACACAATCAAAATCCAGTTGAAAACTTCCCATATTTCTCCAGTGCTTTTTACATACCACAGAAAGTCTGAATTCCTTGAAAAGGAGAGAACAGAAATATAACCTCCACATGTATAGATGTCCTTAGCATAACTCTTCTGTCTTTTTCAAGAAGCGTAGTGACTTGCCTGGCAGTGACATACCAGACAGCATTCATTCGCTATAAACCTTTTCAATGGGACCATTTTGCACCCTGTTAATTTTTTTAGCATAATCTTTTAATTAGCATTAGTGGAAGTGTTATAGCACTATAACACTGTGATTTATTTATTTATAAAATAAAACTTTCTAGTCAACGCTATCTTAGCAGTTTAAACACTTCTAATCTGTACTTCTGATCCAAGATAAGTGTTAAACACTGGGTTTGGACCATTCATGGGTGATCATGCGTGAACAAGTGTTTAAAAAAGGATTGGTCAGAATTGCCCTGAGTTTCAACAGTGACTGAGCACATTTAACAAATTACTGTTCCCAGAATTCTTTGGGGGAAGCCATGACTGTTTAAAGTGGTGTGCTACTGCTTTAAACATACTGTGCTGTTGGGGCCTAGGAGACTCCTACCTGGAAACAGCTAAAGCAGGCTTCCTCAACCTCGGCCCTCTAGATGTTTTTGGCCTACAACTCCCATGATCCCTAGCTAGCAGGATCAGTGGTCAGGGATGATGGGAATTGTAGTCTCAAAACATCTGGAGGGCTGAGTTTGAGGAAACCTGAGCTAAAGGGACTCTGCCTAAGCTTTAGCTTATTCAGGTGAGCTAACTGTGTTTGGTTAGGCAAATCTGCTCACAACACTTCTGATTCAATGGATTTCAACAAGAGGGTGTACACTTATGCAGGTGAAAGTCAATATTTGATAATATCAATTAAGATATATGCGTGTATGATTCAGACTGTAGCTTCCACTACTTTTTAAAATTTTCACTGTTTCTGAGAGAGGAAGTAATTTGAAGGTGATGGGAACATGTCTCTATTAGACCTGAAGGCATCTGTTTGGGTTTGTCAGGGATGTGTATACCTGTGAAGAGATCCAAGATTTAGAACCTCAAAGCCAAAGTGAGAGCATTTGGGTCAAAATTAAGGGAGAGAAGAATAACAGTGACCTCATTGTGGGAGTTTACTATAGATCCCCAAGCCAAACGGAGGACATAGATGATGCCTTCCTGGAACAGATGGCCAAGCATGCAAAAGGAAGGGAGATAGTAGTAATGGGGGACTTCAATTACCCGGATATTTGTTGGATGTCAAACTCAGCCAAGAGCATAAGGTCAAACAGATTCCTCACTGGCCTTGCAGACAACTTCATTGTCCAGAAAGTGGGAGAAGCAACAAGAGGAACAGCCATTTTAGATCTGGTCCTAACCAATGTTGATGACCTGGTTAGTGGGGTAGAAGTGGAAGGATCATTAGGCGTGAGTGATCATGCTCTTCTGAAGTTTACTATACAGCGGAAAGGAGCAGCCAAGCATACTAGGACTCAATTTCTTGACTTTAAGAAAGCCGACTTCATAAAACTTAGGGAAGTGCTGGGTGAGATCCCATGGACAGTAATACTAAAAGGAAAGGGAGTTCATGATGGCTGGGAGTTTGTTAAGAGGGAGATACTAAAAGCACAACGTCAGGCAATACCAATGAGACGGAAACATGGAAGGTGCCTAAAGAAGCCAGGGTGGCTATCTAAAGAACTTTTAACTGAGTTAAGATTAAAAAGGATGTGTACAAAAATGGAAAAGGGGGAAACCACCAAAGAGGAATTCAAACAAATAGCCAGCACGTGTAGACACAAAGTCAAAAAAGCTAAAGCACAGAATGAACTCAGGCTTGCTAGAGAGGTTAAAAGCAACAAAAAGGCTTTTATGGGTATGTTCGTAGCAAAAGGAAGAACAAAGAAACAGTGGGGTCACTCAGAGGAGAAGATGGTGAAATGCGAACAGGGGACACAGAAAGGGCTGAACTCCTCAATGCCTTCTTTGCCTCAGTCTTCTCCGATAAAGAAAACAATGCCCGACCTGAAGAATTTGGAGCAAATGATTCAGCAAAGGAAACACAGCCCAGAATAACTAAGGAGATAGTACAAGAATACTTGGCTAGTTTAGATGTATCCAAGTCTCCAGGGCCAGATGAACGGCATCCAAGAGTATTAAAAGAACTGGCAGATGTGATCTCAGAACCACTGGCAGTCATCTTTGAGAATTCCTGGAGAACAGGCGAAGTCCCGGCAGACTGGAGGAGGGCAAATGTTGTCCCTATTTTCAAAAAGGGGAAAAGAGAGGACCCAAATAATTATCGCCCAGTCAGTCTGACATCAATACCAGGGAAGATTCTGGAGCAGATCATTAAGCAAACAGTCTGTGAGCACCTAGAAAAGAATGCTGTGATCACCAATAGTCAGCATGGATTTCTGAAAAATAAGTCATGTCAGACTAACCTGATCTCGTTTTTGACAGAATTACAAGCCTGGTAGATGAAGGGAACGCAGTGGATGTAGCCTACCTTGATTTCAGCAAGGCATTTGACAAGGTGCCCCATGATATTCTTGTAAAGAAGCTGGTAAAATGCGGTCTTGACTATGCTACCACTCAGTAGATTTGTAACTGGCTGACTGACCGAACCCAAAGGGTGCTCATCAATGGTTCCTCTTCATCCTGGAGAAGAGTGACTAGTGGGGTGCCCCAGGGTTCTGTCTTGGGCCCGGTCTTATTCAACATCTTTATCAACGACTTGGATGATGGACTCAAGGGCATCCTGATCAAATTTGCAGATGACACCAAACTGGGAGGGGTGGCTAACACCCCAGAGGACAGGATCACACTTCAAAACGACCTTGACAGATTAGAGAACTGGGCCAAAACAAACAAGATGAATTTTAACAGGGAGAAATGTAAAGTATTGCACTTGGGCAAAAAAAATGAGAGGCACAAATACAAGATGGGTGACACCTGGCTTGAGAGCAGTACATGTGAAAAGGATCTAGGAGTCTTGGTTGACCACAAACTTGACATGAGCCAACAGTGTGACACGGCAGCTAAAAAGCCAATGCAATTCTGGGCCTCATCAATAGGAGTATAGCATCTAGATCAAGGGAAGTAATAGTGCCACTGTATTCTGCTCTGGTCAGACCTCACCTGGAGTACTGTGTCCAGTTCTGGGCACCACAGTTCAAGAAGGACACTGACCAACTGGAACGTGTCCAGAGGAGGGCAACCAAAATGGTCAAAGGCCTGGAAACGATGCCTTATGAGGAACGGCTAAGGGAGCTGGGCATGTTTAGCCTGGAGAAGAGGAGGTTAAGGGGTGATATGATAGCCATGTTCAAATATATAAAAGGATGTCACATAGAGGAGGGAGAAAGGTTGTTTTCTGCTGCTCCAGAGAAGTGGACACGGAGCAATGGATCCAAACTACAAGAAAGAAGATTCCACCTAAACATTAGGAAGAACTTCCTGACAGTAAGAGCTGTTCGGCAGTGGAATTTGCTGCCAAGGAGTGTGGTGGAGTCTCCTTCTTTGGAGGTCTTTAAGCAGAGGCTTGACAACCATATGTCAGGAGTGCTGTGATGGTGTTTCCTGCTTGGCAGGGGGTTGGACTTGATGGCCCTTGTGGTCTCTTCCAACTCTGTGATTCTATGATTCTATGGTTTCAAAGCAGACCTCAGCTGTTCCTGATCGCATGTGTTTGAAGTACTCCTAATACCCTTGCAGGCTATCAGAATGACACTTGACAAAAGCTTTGCCACGAGATGCTCCTCAAAACTTTTTAGATCCAACTGCAGTTTAGGCTGTTGTGAATGATACCCCCAGATCTCTCTGCAGAAAAGAAATGCCACTTTAATGGAACCAGATCAGCAGTTTAAGTGCATTACTATTTTATTAGACTGTATTGTGAAGTAAGTGCATAAGTGCCGATCAGCACTTCTCATTTATACTTGGGTTTTTATAGGGGTTATCAACAAGGCAATGTGTTAAAAGCTCAGTTGGTCTGGATCAGCATGTCAGTGCATTAGTGGGTCATGTAAATGCTTAGATGTTAGACTCCTGTGAGACTATTGAAGTATTTCTCTCATTAATCTTTCCATTCCTGGTTTGTGTTGCTTTCAAGTAACTGTTTTGAACTTGGTGGATCTCAGTTATCATCATGTATAGGTGTTATTGGCTCTTTTGTGGACTTGGCTTTAAAAAGGAGTAACATACAGTTGTATTGATTTCTTACTTCCCTTTCCTCTTTCTGAATATAATAAGTGAATATTGAGAACAGAATTTTTTCCTTTGCTTTTGCTTTTCAAACTTTCAGTATATAACTCAAAGGAACCAAAAGGAATAAAATAGTACATTTATAAGTACAGTAAATACAATATAATGGGGAAAAGTAGATTGTTAATGAATAGCGTAAAATGGAGATTATATTGATTGCTAACATAGGCTAACCCTATCATATAAACAAATACGAGACATAAATAGCAGACATGAGAAAGCCATCAATTAATTATCCTGAAATTCCTTGTTCCAACACTATATAAATAAAAATCATCTCTCAGTGAACCTGTTGGCTTGAGTGTTTTGTTTGTTTTTCTTAGTCCTGGAAAAGTATGGAGGTTTTGTTTAGAAATCTACCTTGCAGACTTTCCTTAACCATTATGTGGTGCTTGGTAAGTCTGGCGATTTCCAGTGTTCTCCAATGCAAAGTGTAACTATTAGTAATGAACTTAGCACATGTTGTAGATCAAGTTGTTCAGTTTCAGATTTATGAGATGGTATGCTGGTGGCGCTGTGGTCTAAATCACTGAGCCTAGGGCTTGCCAATCAGAAGGTTGGCGGTTCAAATTCCCACGACGGGGTGAGCTCCCGTTGCTTGGTCCCTGCTCCTGCCCACCTAGCAGTTCAAAAGCACATCAAAGTGCAAGTAGAAATATAGGTACCTCCGGCAGGAAGGTAAACAGTGTTTCCGTGCGCTGCTCTGGTTTGCCAGAAGTGGCTTAGTCATGCTCGCCACATGACCCGGAAGCTGTCTGCGGACAAACGCCGGCTCCCTTGGCCTAGAGAGCGAGATGAGCTCGCAACCCCAGAGTCATCCGTGACTGGACCTAACGGTCAGAGGTACCTTTACCCTGTAAAAAGTAGTACAGTAGAAAGAACTTCAATCTAAACCTTCTGCATATTTCCAAAAAAAATTGCATACGATCTGCTTTTGATACTTGATATTTCCAGCAATAATCAGAAATTGATTAATAGATTTTGCTCAACTTATAAAGAGTGAGATGCCATTGAATATGATTTTGAAAAAGTTCTCTTTTTGGTTTTCATTTATTAATATTGAGGGAACGTTATTGAACAACCAGACCCATTTTTATTCCTGCATAGATAAGCTCATTGTATTTCCCCAATTTTTTTAAAAATGAAATAAGGTTTGATTATGGTTCAATTGCGGATTTGCCAGATAAGATATCATACATTTTACTCTTCAGTTTTTTAAATAAAGCTGATAATCCAGTTCTTGAGCATTGCAATTTCATTAGGGTGACCATGTTTTCCAATCAACTAGGTAACAATATGCCACGTTTGAAAGAATTGGTAAAGTGAAGGGTAATAGCCTTCCAGTAAAATAGCAAGCTTATTATAGGATATTATACGTTTGTTAATGATCTGCTTACAAATTGGTAAAATGAATTTTCAGCACCAAGTTACAACATTTCCCCAAAATTTGCTCATAAATATTAGAGAGAGAGAGAGAGAGAGAGAGAGAGAGAGAGCTGATGGTCCAGGCTTAAGTGTGGTTAGAATTTGCACAAAACTGTGTTTAATAATTTGGTGGTAGCAAGACCATGGGATTGAATATTAAAGTTTGTGGTTTAAATTTATCCATAATTTATCTGGTTGGTACCAATCTTCAGTAGAGGTTACTCTCACAGCATTGCACAGTGTTTGGTACTTTTAGAGCTTATTTATTAATTTTTTAAAAAGTATTTTATTATGCATCATAGAAATGGTTATTTTGCCATATAAAAGTTATGATCTTTTGCCAACCGAATAATAGTGTGCATATGTCTCAATGAGGTGTTAATTAACAAAAACAATATTTGTAACAGGATGTTCAATTTAACTGTGGATATCCTGCTTCCATGTCATCTTGGAGTCTTTGTCACTGTCTAAAAGTAATATATGCAATGCAACTAGCAGTACCAGATAACTATGCTGTGTTAAAATAAAAATAAAAAAGAATTCAGCTTCTCCCACAGCAGCGATGGCAAAGTAATATCTTCCAAAATTCCATTAATAGTCCTTTCAGATAATGGGATCTTACCTTTATAAAAGTCTTGTTGAGGGGTTTTGAATTGGCCTCCAATATTAAATTCTTCCAAGGTCCTGTGTAGGAAACCTCCTTCCACCCAATCAAATGCCTTTTCAGTGTCCAAAAAGAAAAAGAACAAGTCATTTTTGATGAGGCAAATGATATATATTTGTGCAGCTGATGAATAAGTCTTTCGATGTTGGGTTTTGGTCCACAAGAGTTTTTATTAACTTGTTAAACCTTTTAAGTTGTTTAATCCGTTTTTGTTGTTCATGGGCCAGATTCAACTCCTGCTAGCAGAAGCCCATGCAAGGACTTCCACAAACACAGCAGGGTATTCCCCATCTCTTCCCCACCACTCCTTCTGCCACAAATTGTCTGGAGGGGTTAGGAGAACCCCCAGAACAGGAGGGAGATGGGGAGGGTCGCTCCGTCTGGCAAGTTGAAATGCTTGTCCTGGTGGAGCAATTGCAATTGTTCCATGTTGAATTCATTGGTTCTTGATTATTGGTTTGGAAGTTATATTGGATGGCCAGAACTTGATATTGGGAAGTCTTTGCCAAATTTAGGTATTACTGTCCCCCGTGCTTCTGACTGCGGTATGTTTTTTAGTTTAATTAACTCATTTATTGTGATGCTTTAATATTTAGCTGTTCCTTCTTTAAATTTTCTATACAGTTATGTAATGAAACCATAAGGTCCTGTTGCTTTGCTATTTTTGTGATATTTCTAATAATCTATTGCTCTGCAAATGGAACTTCTGGCACTGTTGTTTAAGGATAATTAAATTTGTGTAGCTTGATTATAATGAAAACTCATTAATTACTGCTTCAGAGGGGTTTTGTGATGAATCCTGATAAAATTGTTGAAATCACTGTGCTGCTTTGGCTATTCCGTTTTATAGGGAACTCAGGGGATCAATTTCTTCTTCTTTATATAAGATTTTGGAAATTTTGAGGGTTGCTATTCAAGTCGTCTTTGAAAAACTTCATGTGGTTCTCAAGTTTACAGCTTTGCTTATATTCTTATTTGAGCATAAGACTATCATATACATTTTCACAGCGATTTTGTTTATGGAGGTGTTATACCTTCTGTGATCATTTTGTTTACTAGGCGTTAGTTCTTCTCAGAGCATTCTGAAGCTTTCTGAAAAAAATAACTGTTCCTGTATAGACTTTCACTGTGTCCCATGTAACTGGGCAAATTACCTTTGGGTAACATTTAACTCAAATATTGTTTTGAATGTTGTTGAAGATATACTGTTAAATCTTCATTGTGGAAGTGAGTGCTATTTAGTTTCCCAATTGTCAATTAAATTTGGAGAAAGTGCCACAAAGGCACATAGTATGTGTGTAGGATAGGTTTCCTTTGTGTATCTGTTGTTTGCATGACCAGTAGAGAGGTACCAGGAATAAATGAATACAGAAGTAAGAGTTCTCTACAGATGAAAAACTAAAAAACAAATAATAACCTTAGGATTGGGAAATCTCCACATACTAATAACTACACAGTTATTCTTGATATGTTTAATAGAAGTTTTGGTAAAGAGTTGTGTCCATGATATTCTTAGCTGAGCAGTCAGATTTAGAATACAAAACTCTGTTACAATCTCCTATTATTTTCCATGTGGTGAGAGCATTGATCTTTTTATTTTCTTTTTTGTATCATTAGTTTGCACCATCAATTGCCAAAGTATTCAGCTTGTTTAATATGAGGTGCATATACAGTATGCAGACAATTGTAACATGTTGGTTTTCAGTAGAGATACTTATAATTAGATAAGTACCTAAATTGTCAAAGGATATCCCTTTATAATTAAAGCAGAGCTTTTTAGCATCATCAGAAAATAACTTTGTTAAGCCTCATGTTTGTTATTCTATTTTTTCTTCTTCTCTATTCTTGATATGTATTTATTGTAAGAAGATGTCTGGTGTTCTCCTGCTTTAATAGACTTGAGTGTTTCCTCCATTTATTAGGTGTGTTGCCCTTTTCCATTTAATTTAAAGCAAGGTTGTCAAGGAGTGTGCAGGTGTGCTCTGTTGAACAGGAATTTTTGTGTGGTTTGTCTATTACCTTTTAAGTGTACATGCACCTCACCACCCAGTTTGTTCAGCTATCTCTAACATAAGCCTAGTAGGATATTTATATGGAGAGAAATCTGGTGAGGAAAATCTATGTGTTTTGTGCTGCCTTTCATTCATTACTTTTTAATTTCTACTCCCTAAAGAAACAAACAACTGTGTTACAGATGCTTTGGTAGAGATTCCTGCATTGCAGGGGGTTGGCCTAGATGACCCTAAGGTCCCTTCCAACTCTACAGTTCTATGATTCTATAAAAGAGAGTCTGCATCAACACAACACCAGTGGAAGCAGATTGTCTGTTTTGTTATCCCTTTCTGCTGCTTGCAGTCTTTACTAAGTGAGATATAAATAAAGATGTTTCTCTTCTGATTCTTTTAAGCCGTGGGATCTGTGTGATTTGTGTCTTGAAATGCTGAACCTCTGGGCTTCTGGGCTCCAGGGAATATACCAGAACCTTTTCTAATCATAGAGAGAATGTGCTTCCTCCACTCCAAACAATAGTGAGAGCCTGCCTGACTTGAGAGAGACTGCTGTCTGCTTTCCTTATTGTCATTCCACAGAAAATTGACCTTTAGAGCCAAAGCAGACAGAGCCATTGTTATAAGATTCTTGAAGAATTGAGGCTCGGTGCCAGGATGCCTCTGAATCATTCCAAACATCTGCGCTTGAAAGAAATATATTTTGACTATATATATATATATATATTCAATCAGAAGTTGTTTTATCTGTGAGTATTATGGAGGAGGAATTTTATCAGGTAAATCAAATATCTTATGAAGGAGCCAACAGGTTGCTGGTATATGAAATGGCTGCATTCTGATTTGTTTCAGTTTTGTTTTGCTGGCTTTAAAATTAAGGCAGCCTTGAAAAAAATGAAAACAAACAAAGTGTGATTGCGGGGTTGTCGGGTTGTCAAACAGATTGTATCTGCATTCTGATTATGGAGATAATTATTCAGGATTAAAATGAGTGAAGTGTATAGGAAATGCAGATTTGATCTGTTTCCAAAGCATATAATTTAAAATTAAACTTCCTCAAATGTAAGACTGTGAAGAAGAGAGAGCATGATGTAATGAATGTGTGTTGGACTTTTTGAAGAGTGAGGCTTGGGTTTAAATTCCAGCTCAGCTATGAATCTCACAGAGCTTCTGACCTGGCTCTTGATATGTTGGTCCATAGTCAGGAAGCTCAGAAACCCCATAGAACAGACCCAGAAAGTTTCAATAATTATCAAAGAGCTTGCCCAGCTGTGGCCTATTTCTTTGAAGAGTCTTCCTTGATGAGTGTGGTTAATCTCTGTGCAGCTGGACTCTGGTGGTGGCAGAGACTGAAATCTCCACCTGAAATCTTCAGGTTGCCGTTCAAAACCTGCTGTAACCATGAGTCTCTGACACTAGCTTGCCTTGAGCAAACTGATCAATTGCGGCTGCAAAACCCATTTCCTTTGCCCACATAGTTTGAAATTGCCGGCAAAGAAAGCTCCCTTTGGGGCTTGTTGTAAGTGCTGGGTTATGCTTACAGCAATCCCCACTTTGGGTAGGAATCAGCTGTAGTGTGGCTTTCCTGATCAGGATGTTTAGAAGGTGTTGTACCTCCGACCTGAGATGACCTCTGAGTTCCACTGCCTGCAGGCTTTGTTTGTGTCTCTCCAGAATCAGGTAAATAATATCTTACCATTGACCATCTCTGGATGACTGAAGAAAGGCGAAAAGAAAAGGAAAAAGTCCAGTAGCATCTTAGAGACCAACTAAGTTTGTCCTGGGTATAAGCTTTCGTGTGCATGCACACTTAGTCAGGCCTACCTGGCATGGGAGAAACAGCTTTCAAGGGGCATTATGACATCTTCTCTTAAAGGAGCAGCTCCTTTGGCAGCATTTATAGGTATTTTTCACTTTCTGGGTATTTTTAACCCCCCTCCCCCACTTTTGTGCCTGTGCATACCTTTCCCAAGGACTACAAAATAGGTTCAGCTGTTTTGTGGGATGCAGTGTTTGGAAGATGCTGCAGAAAGTTTGGGGTGGAGGATCCCTTATCCCTGGACACACCATTCCTGCATAGATACTGTTCTGCTATGTCAAGAACATGTTCAGTGCCCTCCAGGAGCGTCTAGTGAAAATGGAAATTTCTTACGTGTAACTTGGTCCACAGAGGCTTCCATTGTCCCTGCCATAGCTTGCGGGGACCATTTTGCAAAGGTTTCTGTGTGCTCTTACATGATCTACTGTAGGTCCTTACAGCTTCTGCCAATGCAGAAGGTAGGGGAGATGTATTGCATTCAATTCCATACTCTGTTTTCCATTTTTATGGCCATTCTTTTTGTCCACAGTTGATTTCTAACATGCAGATCTATGCATAGTAGCTGAGTTCCAGTTTGATTTGGAAAGGTTGGCTGCTACTTGGTCTGGAAGGTGCTAGGTGGCTCCTCCAACAAGAAAAAAGCAAATTTGCATGGCTCTGACTGTGGACTCCAGTAGGAGGCACTGCCCTGAAGGAGCTTCGTGTATCCTGAATGCTTCTGTGAACAAAGTTCACAGGGGAAAAAGTGTTGCTTTTCTCCCACCAAGGATGCCTGCCTACTGAACACTCCTCATATTACACGTCGCTGCAGGCTATTTTCTGCCTGCTGTGCATTTAAACTGATCATAACAATATACATTTATGCAGTGATTCCAGGGTGGGTGGCCTTTATTTATGGAACTTTCTTCCTATCTCCCAGAATGGAAGACAAAAAAACACAAAAAATCTTAACACAAAGCTCAGCAACTGAAAACAGAGCTAAGGAAAAAAAATATGTGTTTAAAAAAATTGCTCCCTTTTGAAAAACAACA